TCCTTACTCAGTAATGGGACTGAAAAAAATGAAAGTTCTAGGAGAGGTTTATATGGCTTGCCACGAAAGCTAATGGGAGTAGAGGCAGGAGAATTTGTTTCATATTGACACTCTTGGGAAAACAGGCTCTGGAGCAGGTATATCTGGGTTCTTCTGTGGCTCCACCATTTACTGGCTGTGTGACCTTGGACAAGTTACTTCACCTCTCTGAGATTTGATTTTCCTATCTATAAAATACAGATCATCATAGTTGTGGTTTGGATATGAAGCACTCCCAAAGGCTTGTGTTGAAGGCTTGTTCCTCAGTGTAGCAATGTTCAACATGTGTCTTTTAGGAAACAATTGTATCATGAGGGCTCTGATCTCATCAGTGGATTAATCCATTGAGGAATTCACTGCTAAATGGACTATTGGGAGGTGGTGGAAACTGTAGGAGGTAGAACCTAGTTGAAGGAGTGGGTCCTTGGGGGAGTGCTGTTGGGGATTAAATCTTGCCCCAGCCCCTTCTGCTCACTCTCTTTGCTTCCCCACCACTTTAAGGTAAGCAGCTTTGCTCTGCCACACCCCTCCACTCTGATGTCCTGTCTCAGGCCCAAAGCAGCTGACCATGGACTGAAATTTCTGAAACCTATGAGTCAAATCTTTCCCCCTCTAAGTTGTTATGCTCAGGTATTTGTCACAGTGAAAAAAGCTGACTGACACAATGCTACTTATATATTCATTTGTCGTGAAGAAGCAAAATGTCACAAGAATTAGTTAAAATAGTACTTGTAAAGCACTGGAAGAGTGCCTGGATCACAGCAAGCATTATCTAAATGCTCTGATTCTTCAAGCTCTTCATACTGTTTCTGTATGCTTAAATTCAAGCTGGAGGATCGTGGAAGGCTTTGTGAAGGCACTATAAAATCAGAGTGTTTAAAGATGGTTAGGATTCAGATACATGAAAATGGAGAGGAAGGCATTCTAAAAAGTTAGAAGAGTATATGGGAGAGCCAAGACAAGAAAAGTACAAATTAGAACACAAGTGAATCAAAAGGGAAGTAAAGGAGGGGAGTGAGAAATGCATTTAGAAAGGAGGGTTGTGGGCAGATCACGGAGAGCCTTGACTTTCTCCTATAGCTGCCGAGGACTTACTGAGTTTTAATAACTGAGAAAACATCATGCTTCCAAAATCTGGCAGCTGTGCAAGGCAAGTTTGGGAGATAAGAGTCCAGAATTAGGTTACAGTTCCCACCATCCAGGGAATGGGACATTCACCAGAGCAGAGGCAGTGCGCTTTGGAAATTGCCTGCATATGGAAGAGGAAAGGGAGACATTTAAAACACCATCACAGGGATTACGGTGGAGCCATTGTCTGAAATGGGAAACACAGAAAAAGAGGCTTCAGGGTAGTCATGATTTTGCTTCTTAACCTGTAAAGTTTGAAGCTCCAAGTGGAACTGTCTAATAGAAGTGGAGCTGAGAACAAAAAAATGTCTGGGCAGGGAGCTGATGACACAGGCTAAATGCGAGTTAATCCTTTTAACAATTTGAGAGATGGGTATATGATCATTTCATCTTAAAGGGGAAGGAACGGAAACTAGAGATGTTAAGAACAATTCTCCACAGCAGGCCTTCTCAGTGTTCCATCCCAGGACAGTCCCTCACACCCATGCTCAGAGGCTGTTTGATACAATTCTGGTAAACTTGGATTTTTTTTTTCCTTCTTGGTTTTAGCAGATTAGAAGCTGGCAGAAAGGGGAAAAGGATAATAACAGCAAGAAAAGTGACAGCTGACAACTGGAAACTTGAAAGCATCAAGAACTCTCATAACACAGCATTTACATGTCCTTCAGTCCTTAACAGTCTAGGGGATTCCTTAATAATAAAGCTTGGTACTGATTTGTGTTCATAATGAGTTTAGAAAATATTAAATTTCTTTCTGTATGCTTAAATTAGAAAGCCAATGAAGTTTTAAATGTATTTTTACAAGAGATTCATCTGACATAAACATTTTGGGAAACATATCTTCAAAAAGAAAAAGAAAAAAATAAAAGCTTCCCAGACAGCAGACATTTTGACACAACTGTTTCCCTCTCACTCATCTGAAGAGCCCTAGAAGCATGTAAAGGATATTCTGAGCTGTGCAGTCTTGGGGACTCCGCCAGGGCTCTCATGCCCACCTACACCATCACTGATAACCTGTTCCTTTCCTCCCTTCTGCCTGGCTGACTTGATTACGTCTCAGAAAGTGGACAATAAGGGGAGGTCACAGTGTTCTGGGTCAAACAGCAGCTGCCACAGAATCCAACAGCAGAACCCTCCCTACAGGGAGGTGAAGTGGAAACAAAGGTGTAAAACGGGGCACCTGAGTGCAGTGTGTCTGGTGGAAAGGCAATACCAAATCAGGAATAGTGACCAGTCATCTGGTTCCCAGCTCCGTATCTCATCAACCCTGCATTTCCATGTTTTTATCCCTTTGCCTTGAAAACCTGCCAGGGGCAGGAAATCATCCCTCAGGCCTAACTAGGGTCTTGAAAGCTCTTTCTGAAATGCAAATCTGAGAAGGTCATTTCCCTAAGTAAAACTCCCCAAGAGCTTCCTATTGCCTGGCAGGCATTCATAAACCTTGCAGTCTCAAGACTCCTTTCTATTCCTAAAATACTACAGAAGACTTCAAAGGACTTTTTTCTATGCAGTGTGTTTCTTCTATATTTACCATATAAAATCAAAACTGAAAAACTTAATTTATTCGTTAAAAATTACAATAACGAACCTATTACATAATAGCACAAGCACATTTTTCAACGAAAAATAATTGTATTTTCTAAGACATAAATTAATGAGAAGAGCGGTGCTTTACACTTGTGCAAATTTCTTTCAACACCTGGCTTAAACGAAGACAGCTGGATTCTAAAATCTACTTCCGTCTTTAATCTGTTGCGATATCCTATGTTCTGTGGAAAGCCTCACTGTACACTCATGTGAGAATGACAAAAAACAAAGTTGGATTGGGACAAAAAACTGTTGTTTTTGTTTGTTGGTGGTGTTGTTTTAGTTCACTGACCCCTACAAGGGGTCACCCAAGACCACACTGTGAAATCTTTGACGTACAAAATAAAATTGAAGCTCTCTACCTAGAACGTACTAGACCCTCCTTTCACCTCCTGCCCTACTGCAAGGGCAGCGTACCCCAGGTCTCTCCCATGCTCCCACTCCAGTCCCTGCAGCTAGCTGTCCCTGCCACGCCTTGATACCTTGGCACTCAACCTTCCCTCTGCCTGAGATGAGCTTTCCCTGCAGACTCCTTCCAGAGCCAGCTTGCATGTCTTTGGCTCCAGGAGGCCTCCGGGGACCCACCCCTGCAGGCAGAGCCCAAGTGGACAGGAGTCTCCGCACGTCATTTGCTAGCTGCGCGACTTGCACATGGAGCGTCACCTGCCTAGACTTCAGCTTCCCCACGGCTGAAACGACGTGGCGGTGAAACAGAACTGTAGCGAGGAGCCCTGGGCGCTTGACCCCGTGCACCGAGTGTGGCACGCCAAGGCTGCCCGCTCGCCGAAGGGACAGCGCCGGAACCGCTTATACTCACTCGCTCGGCCCTCGGCCCAGTGGCCTGGGCTTGACGCGCACTAACTTATATTTTTCCTCCTACTAGCCCTCGGGGTTAAGCGCCAAGGTGTCAGAGAGGACCGCGTTGGCGCGGAGGTGCGAAGTAACTCGCTCAAGGTCACCACAGTCAGCTGCCGGCGGGGCGGGGCTGCTCGCTGCCGGCTGCCCGCGGCCGCGGGATTCGAACCCCAGCCCTCTGCGCGCGCCAGTTTACCGGTGCGTGAAACGCCAACTAGACAGTGGGTCGG